GAACAGGAAGTACCTGAAATATTTAAACCACAAAACCATAAGCACAAAGCTTAGTGTGTTCTCCAAAATACCCCAGACCATACATATATTTAGGCCCAATCCTAGGGGTGTATTTCAACCCTATGTGAATGCTATAATCTAACCATAGTCTTACATCCACTTCCAGATTACAACACAACCGTAACCTTTCAGCCATGATCCAGCCATGGTCTTCCATGCAAGTCACAAAGACAAACAAGTGGTGTGATCCAATCACAGTCTTTCATACAAGTGTTGTGATCCAACCACAGTCTTTCATACATGTGTTGTGATCCAACCGTGGTCTTTCTTATAGGTGCTATGATCCACCCACAATCTTTCATGCAAGAGTCACAAAGACAAACTAGAAACCTACATAGTATAGTGAGAATACTCACCTTGCAGATGTAGTCAATAACTAACAACTCTCATAGTCAATGAATCGGGTGCTATACACCTCCTAATAAACCATACAAGATAAACTGTTGTGACATAAGAACATGGTTTGGCATGCGGAATTAAAGATTGCACAATGAACATGGTGATTTGGGTGTTCAAGAGATGTATTGATTATGTATGGTGTGACACAAAAAGGATCTAGATCTAGACTACATAAATAACACACACTTACACACTCACTTTTACATCTCTCAAGCACACCTCTACAAGTGGAATAAACCCACCTTATATAGAGGTGTTTACATGTCTCTCTCTCTCACTCTCTATCTCATGCCACAAGGCTAATGCACCACATTCAAGTGGGTGACACATGTCGAAACTCGAGTAACTACGCGATCCGAGCGTCAAGGGTGATACATGTCGAAACGAACTTCAATCTTCAATTCTTCCATGATTCTTCAATTTGGGCTCTAGGATGTGAGACCATACAAACTGAGCATCAACGAATGATCACGAGCTTCTCAAACTCCAAATTCATCACCAAAAGTTGAGCACAAAAGCACACCCCAAAAATCTTCAATAAAACCAAGCCCATTTCGAATACATCACTTCCGAACTTCCAATTTCATCATTTCGTAAGCTTCAAAAATTTAAGGTCACTTCGGTCTTCAAATTCGCGTAATATGAAAAATTCAAGTTCGAATTTCCATATAAATTTCTCCCCTTTTTATAATCGAAAATTGATTATAAAACCTTCAAGAAAAGAGAACGTGCTCTATTCGAAATTTTTCGTGTCAAAACTCCCCCTTAACATGTGGCATAAACTTTGTGCTTCAATCCAGAAAATCCAAAAAATATTCAATTTTAGCTTCGTTCACGGATCGCCTTTGACAAAATTTCTCAAAAATGGGTAGAAATTGTCAATTTCAAAATTCTGCAGTGACCCGGTGCGCCCAAAACAGCAAAATATGCCAAACTCTCCCCCTTTTCCAAAGCTGGGTAGAAAGCGTCAATTTGCACAAACTGCAGGGGCTTGAAATGCATTTTCTTCAATTTTCAGCAAAAACAGTCCTTTTTCGAATTTGGGTATGAACCGCCAAACATTCGAAGCCTCAGGGACTATTTTCGAAAAAAATTTCTTTGTGCACCAAACATACGAAGAGTTGTCCCAAACATACGAAGCTTCTGAAAATTTTTGAATTTGGGTGAAAAGTGTCAAACATTCGAAACTTCAATTAACTGTTGAGGTTGCCATATATTCGAAGGTTAAGGGACTGAATTTGAAAATTTTCAATTTTTCTTCAAACATACGAAGGCTTTGATCAAACATACGAAGGGTTTTGAAAAGGTGCCAAATAGTCGAAATTCCAGGGTTCATTTTCGTAACTTTAGGTTTCTTTTTCAAAACACACGAAATTTCAATCCTTTCAAACGTACGAAAAAAAATTTCTCTCTCCTCTTCGTACAAAATTTCAAATATGCTTTCCCAAACACCCTTCGTGTAAAATCCAAAACACCATTTTACCCTCTTCGTATAATTCCATTTTTCCCAATCAAACGAAAATTCTCAGCATACGAAGCCTCACTTATGAACAGTAACCTCTTAACCATTCATCCTCTTAATCGACTGTAGAATCAACATACCAATATCAACAATCGACCCTTCATATCTTCAAAATCCAAACACAGGGACCCTTCATATATTAACCCAGTTTTTTCCAAATCAAAATTATCGATCATCAAGAACAAACACATGAACTCCAAAAGCTTCAAGGCTTCGTCTGTTTGATTGAAACCAAAATCGTCGTCGATTTAACGAAGCATCAAAGTCTTCTTTCAAACCACCGACTCCAAATCATCGACAATACAGTAAACCCTTCGTACATCAACGATTTCTTCGTTTCTTTTTACATAAACAGAACCATTCGAACCTTTATTCCAACACCTTCAATCTCGATCATTCCAACTCATTCAATCATTCGTTCACAATCAAAGGTTCAACGAACATTGACCCTTCGTTCTTGATTACTCAGCAAAAAGTCTCAAAATCATCGATTCTTAACCTAACTCATGATCGATTTCAAATTAACGAACATAGATTCCAACTTAACCATTCGAAATCCAGTTGACACCAAATAATCATTCTCACAGTTCTTCGTTCCCATTCTCACGTTTTTGGCATCTTACACATATATCCAACAATATTTGAAATTGAATCCAAAATCAAACAAGATTTCGAGATTAATAACCTCGAAATAATTTATATCAACCAATTTCAGTCTCCAATACACCGATTCATCAATTTTAAGAAGAATTTGACTTTTCTTCACTTTGACTTTTCGAAATCAATTGCAGAAAAACACGAAATTGATGAATATCTCAACAAATTTTACATCAAAACGTGTTCAATGACCTGTTCTAAACAAGTTCATGACAAGAATTTGTAATTTCTTGATCAGTTTCTTCAAACTCAAAGACTCAGTTGTCGATTTCAAAACAAAGACTTGAACAAAATCGATATTAAGGATGAATAAAAAGAAACATAAAATCGATTCAGAAATCAATCATGACAAAAGACAATCGATCAATCAAAATTGGAAAATTAAATCTGAACATAAGAACGATGAATTAACTCTTGGAATGTCAATGTACAACTTGTATATGCACAAAATGAAGAACAGTGTACCCTTGAATCGTATATATGATTTGGATGAATGGGCTTTTTGTTTCAAGATGTTGAATCAAATAACAAAAACGTATGGGCTCAGAATTGTGAACAGTAAGAGATTTTGATCACTTGGGCTTGAATGATAATCAATTTAATAATATGAATAGTAACATTCGAATTTGGTTCAAATGAATTTATGGACTTCGAACAATAACTGGACTCTATTTTTGAACAAGATCTGAATCAAAATTTGGACTATTGCATATTTAAAATCAAATCAACCAAGCAAATTTGAGATGAGATCGGGCTTTGATCAAAAAGAAATAATTGGATCACAACAAGTGGGTTTTTCAAGAAAAATTTGATCCAACGAGTCAAGCGATCACAAATGAAAAACGCAACGCACGAATTCAATGAAATTAAGAGAGATCATAGAGAGAGACTCACCAAAAATTGCTCCAATTGTGACAAATGTTGCCAAACTGAGAATCGTTCTTCAAAAATCACGTTGATCTTGAAGACCCGCTCTGATACCAATTGTAGAGACATAAAGAACATGGTTTGGCATGCGGAATTAAAGATTGCACAATGAACATGGTGATTTGGGTGTTCAAGAGATGTATTGATTTTATATGGTGTTAAACAAAAAGGATCTAGATCTAGACTACATAAATAACACACACGTACACACTCAACTTTTACATCTCTCAAGCACACCTCTACAAGTGGACTAAACCCACCTTATATAGAGGTGTTTACATGTCTCTCTCTCACTCTCTATCTCATCTCACTCTCTATCTCATGTCATGGAAAACTTTGTACCCCAACATTCTCCCCCTCAAAGTTAGGAATGAATGACCCACTTCAAATCTTCCAAAATCGAGCAACTTAGTCTACATTCTAAAACTAGCCAATTAGCCAAAATCAACCAGGTCATAAAGCCAACGGTCAACATTGACCTCAGTAGGCTTCCATGTTGTGGCCGATCCATGGCCACGTCGTAGATGATGAACTCATCCCGATTCAAAAATCTCAGTCGCAAACAAATACATCGCCACGCCGTGAAAATCAAGTTGCCACGTCGTGGCAGGGTCCGTCCAAAACAGTCGTGAAATCCCCAGTCACCACGTCATGGGAACTGGACATTCTCAGCTTAATGGATTCAACTCTCAATCCATTAAGTCGTCCATTTGTTCCTTCCATAAGGCTTCCTAACTTCCATTACAACATAGAGATCGATATTTTTCAGTCATGCATGTCCAATGCAAGTTTAGAGCTCAAGTTAGGTCAAAAATGGAGAATAACACCAAAATTTCATGCATGGAGCTCCAAAACACCAACACAGTTCAAATATGAACCAGATCTTAAACAAGGGGCCTCAAGGATCCATAAGGTTGCTAACTTTATGGAATCCCACCATTCCAACTAGCTCATCTTTGAAGAAAAAGGACAAAAACCTAGATCACTCCAGATGACGAACAAACGTAGAGCTACTACAGAGAATAAGACTAGTATGTGAAGAGGGAATGATAGAATGGACATATTCTCTCTTCAACTTCCATTTTATATGACGGGTCATACAGTCGGTGCAAGTCCGATGCGAACCCGGTGAACCTGACCCAATTAAGATATGCGCTTCTTTTATCATTCAGGCAAACCAAACGTACCTCCTCCACTTTTAGAATCTATACTTCAGTCCCTTGAAGCTTGATACGTCATAGCCTTTATCTTTCATAGCCTTTATCTTTCATAGCCTTTACAGTCTATGCCCCTCTCTTGCAATAAGCGAACTAAGTTAATACTAATGTCTCTCAGTGTTTATCTTGTATCAATATTATTCTCAAACATTATTCAACATTATATAATTACCCTTAAACATCCTAAGCGTTCATGTTTTTCGACAATATATTGTTATATGGTATGAGTATATATTTAATAATGCTCGCATTCGATACAATTATATATATATATATATATATATATATATATATATATATATATATATATATAGGGCTAGGTTATAATGTGGATGAACAATTATTGTGCGGACGTGTGGACAGTGCTATTCTATGAGAATTACTAAAATAATAAGTTGTTTAGTAATGTCAATACGTTCAACCTCACACAATTATTGTCATTTCCAGTCATTCTCACTAATTCTTATTCATTTTTGTTCTCACTCATCGTTTTTCACTCATTTTCATTCTTATAGAATACGACTCAATAAACATTCTGATAGAATGAGAATAATAATATAAAAAATTGTATAATAACCTTATAGACGATTTAATTTGTGAGAAAGCGTGATAATGACAATAGTTATGTAAGATTAAACGTATTCACATTATCAAACAACATATTTTTTTGTCATTCTCACAGAATAACATTCTCCATACACTCACACAATAGATGTCAATCCACATTTGAACATAGCCCTATATATATATATATATATATATATATATATATATATATATATATATATATATATATATATATATATATATCGGTACTAACTTAAAAAAAATCCTACTATTTCTATAAATAGATCCAATAAAATACTCCCTCCGTCCCAAAATTATAGTCCATCTTTTCATTTTGGTTTGTCCCAAAATAATAATCCACTTCTAAAAATAAATAAGATTTTTACCAAAATACCCCCTCATTATTAGTTAACCAACTAAGCATTTAATGGAACATTAAATGCAAAGTAAGGACAAAACTGTCATTTTATTAAATAAAGTTAGTGGTAATGAATGTTTTTCTTAATATGTGTGTTTTTTTGTCTGTGGACAATAATATTGGGACGGAGGGAGTAATAATATTTTTTTAAGACGTTCAACTCTCTAAACGTAAAGTACAACTAATCATGAATAAAATAATATTATAATTTGAATGAGATTTTTACTCGGTCTCACATTGTTAATCAAAGCCTGATATCTCGGTCCTCCCCATCTCCATATTTTGAGCTCTAGCTCTCAACGCCTTTCTCCGTATATTCATCTTCCTCCCACCCTGACTTTCACTCTCCCTTTCTTCTCTCTACAAACCCTAAGTTGCCGCCACCACCACCACCACCACCATCGATCACCTCATCCGCCACCACCATCACGGCTTACCGCAGTCGCCCACCTCACTACCGCTGTCAATATGCTTCATGGTAGGTTCTTCTTCGATCTCCGATATGCACTTTACCACCATCAAACACACTTTTCTTGTAAGTGGGTTAGACATGTTCTAAATTTATGACGTCAATCGAACAAAATCGTATGAGTATGAGGTGTGACAGTTCGGCCACGACTCAATTCAGGGTTCCTCCAAGTGTAAATTCATTTCCCATTTTTTGCATTAGGTGAATAAGTGACCGTATTTCCTGCAGGAAATTTACCAATTCTTTCGTCGAACTTGTTCTTTTGGGAATCGTGTTGAAGATCTTCCTCATCGTTCTACCTTCGACAATCATGGTGATTTCTATCCAGAGAGGGTGTGGAACTCGATAATTCCCTAATCTATCTTTTCGTATTACCACTCATTTCCCACTTTTCTTGTTAGCGTTATCTAAATTCTAAATTGATGTTTATGGTTATTAGGTCTTAAGAGTTTACCTTTTTACCTAAATCAAAAGTATTCATTTTTTAAATTACTTTACCTTCTCAAGTTATTTCAATTTGGGGCATATCCCTTTTGAAAATCGATGTTGACAGATGTTGTACCCAAGTTAGGACCAATATAACATCCTTTGGTCTGTTTCTGCTGACTCTTATTAACCCTTATCCAATCCTGAGCCGGCTTTGACTTTTAATTACAATTTTGAGTACATTTGAGTGTTTGACACTATATATTGCATACTTTGAGAGGCTCAGGTAATATCATTTTTTCTTTTATTGCATTATTTTTTTTCCTCATTCTTTCGTTAACATGTGTCACTTTATGGGTTTTAGGGTTAAAATGGTGTTAAAACTAGATTGAAATATATTAAAATACAATGCTATAGTAACAGAATCAATGTAAGATGCTAGAATAAACACATAAATAAAAGTACATAGCTATTTCTTTTATTTATACCCTAAATTAAGAATGTCTGTATGTGCTGAAGAGGTTTTGACTTTGAGTATGCTATAGGTTGACATGTTGGGATATATAACAAGTGCATTCAGATCACTGGGAATAGCTAGAATTACATGGGTACTATAGTTGTCAACTATAAAGAAGAAATAGCAGTCAATGCATGGAAATGTAAAAATAAAAAATCAAAATTGCTCCTGTGTCATTAAAAGAAAACTTAAGTTTACTTGGTTCCAACAAAAGAAGAAAGAAGACAAAATATTGAAAAGTGTCTTCCCTGAAAAATCTATCGGTTACTTTGACGATTCCGGTAACTGGATTATAGAGAAATAGGTGAAATACGGGTGAAGAACACGTTAGAAGAAAGTAAAATCTGGTGTTTTTCTCAATATCACCATCTTCCTTAACGCCATCACAATCGGCCATACCGCTCTCTCTTTTTCTTTCTACGATTGTGAAGTGTAATCAGTTTGATGAATAAATATTTTGGTCAACTGGTGTAGGTCGACCCTCTGTCTCGATTATTTGTCTCTTGTACTTAAGCACATGACTGATCCATTAAAGACATTGCCAAAGGTATAAGTGATTTTTTTTTTAAAAAGTGTTATGCCAAAGGTACAAGTATCTCTTCTAATTCAATGTTGTTTTGGATAAGTGGCAGGGTGAAGGTTTTGAAAAGGTTGTGGAGTTTATGGATGCATACTCTATTAGTCAGGAGGATTTTGAGTCACTGATGCTCATGTCCAAGTTTCAGGTAAATAACAAGTTGTGTTTTTTATTCACTTGGGTTATAAATTTATAATTATTATTATATGTGTAGGGGATGCCTAATTTACCTGAGGGTGTGCAGCCTACTGTGAAATTTGCACTTACAATGGCGTATAATAAAGGAAGCAAGACACGAGTGATACGAACAACATATTTGATCACACTTCCAGGCATTAAATCTTTTTTACAGGATGACCTATGAATTGTAAAAATGGAATATCTACATATGATTTATGATAATATTAATAAATAATCTCACTGCAGTTATTTTATCATTAATTTTCATGTATGTATTTGTTGTTATTTAAAAAATGTCATTACGAATGGTTGAAAATGGTTAACTTGGCTGCACAATGTACTGTAACAGAAGTTGTATTTGACTCTTTGAGACTGGCCAAAAGAAGTTCGACTGTATTTCTTTTGCTCTATGGTTTGTGTTTGCTAGGACCTTTCTTGAATTCCATGTTTTTGGATTTGATAATCTTTTGTTATCGAGCACAAAAATTGTTAATAGGGTAAAGACTTTGTTTGTGGCTGATGAAGCTCACAGGTGGTAAATTGTTTATGTTGGGGACACAAATACATTTTTGCCCATGTTAATATTCTGTACGTTTGAGTCTTTCTGGATTGATAGAACTAAAGCATGATCATTTATAACTTTGGAGGATTGAAAGTTTGGATAAACAAATCTAGCATTTAGAGCAATGATGAATTGACAAACACATAATGTTGATGTTGGACAATTTACATATTTACCCCTGGTGTACCTGCATAGTAACTGGTTGATGAGTTTTAACTGTGGTCTGGTGTTAGAAATAAAAGTGGCGGCTTGTTGGGTAGGTCTTGTGCATTGGTGCTTTGCTGCATTGTGAAAGTTGATTTATTCACCATTATGCCCCTGGTCTATTTCTTTTTTTCAAATAGAAGATGGTGTAATTCCCCTGAATGATTGGTGGTTTTTACCTGACTTTTAAAACAAATCAAATCCAAGTTGTTATTTTTAGTGATATTTTGAGAATGCATTGTTATAAGTTGGTGGTTGTAGATTTCACATCTGCTGCATATATGCTGTCACATGGTAGATTTCTTTTCTTTTTTCTTCTTTTCAAGTGTTTTTTGTTATAGGATCTGTTGTGATTTTCTAATTTATTTAACTCTTTGTAATTTTGTCTAGCTTCTTCTACAAATGCCTCATGAAGAAAAAGTTTGGAGGTCAATAGTTTTACTAGCGTATATACACAATAGTTTAACTAATAAGAGTAGAGCAATTAGCATGGTGAGTCGCTTATAATTAGGTTTGGAGTTTTGATTTTTGATCTAATATCAAAACTATTACATTCTTTTTGGTCCAATCAACAGGATTCGTGTTTTTTTATTTGCCTTCACATCATGTTCTACTTTCACATGTTCTATATATAACAAATTCACACACTTACAAATTTTAATAACTTGCATATGTTTCTATCTGCTACTTAAAATTTGTTCATTTTCATATTATTAAAGGTTTTTATTTACAGTTTTATATGTCTTCTACCCTGAGTCAATTGCAGAAGAATCGAGAGTACTTGTCCTGTACATTTATGAAAGTTGTATCATTACTTGACTAAATTAACAAATATTTTAGGCATTTATATAGAAAAAATGAAGTTACATATGTGAAATGTATATATTAAGTTAGTAAAAATGATTGCAAATTAATGAAAACAACAATCTTAATTTAATATAAACCAAAATAAAAACATATTGTATCTTTTAACTAAAAGAAGCAATTTATTTTATTTGGATGTCTATAATAACTTTTTCATTCCAACCACTTTTGCAAAATCTGAACATATTAAAATTCCATAAATTCAACACCATAAAACATCAAACTTATTTGAAACAATCCAAGGAAAGACAAAACCATAAAAATTCCAGCATTATAAAACAAATCTACTAAAAAAACTTAGGTGTTAACAACTGGATCTTGATCACCCTGAGATGGTTGGTTTTCAGCTGCAACAGTATGCAAACCATGCCTGAAAAAATAAAATTGAAGGCATTAATAAGTTTAAATCAAACAATTAAATAACTACACATACAGTGATAAACAGAAAAAAAAAAAAAACAGTGTTTGTTGGTCCTTTGTAAAACAAAGGACAAATGATCTTACCTGACATCAACATGAAATTCATCATCTTCTTCATCATGGAGCCTATAACATCTATTTCGGCCTTGAACTTTTACACGGGGTCTCTTCGGTGGTGGTGACAATGTTTTTGGTTTTGTTGAATCTGATGTGTCAAACATTTCCATAGCTTCATCATCCAGCTTTTCATCTTCAGAACTTAGGATATCAACAACCTCATCCCAATTCTAGTTTAGCAGTGCCCATTCTCTTTTCTTTTCTTTTTCCTGCTTCTCATGCATACAAAGTTGAAGCTTGGTTTGATCACATTCCTGCTTTTCTTTATTGTTACTCAAGTTCGACATTATGGTTGTTTTTCTATGTCAAAATTAGTATTAGTTGCAACAAAACAAATGAATCAAAAGAGAAAACAAAAAATACATGAACATACCTTCTTCCCAGGTGGAATATTCTGGTCAATATGGAATTTTAGAGAAGCATACATAGCTATTTATTGTAGAGAGCGTACCCATGTGTCATTATTTTCCCGCTCAAAATTATTCCTATCCCAAATTATAAGGATCTATGTCACTCAACATTTTAATTTCGAAATTATCTTGAAAATTTATATCATTATTATTTTGAAAAACATAACACTAATTTAACCTAAAAAAGCTCCCACTTAATGAATACGTAATTAATCTTTTACCTTATAATCATAGTGCTTATCAGATAATAACTTTAAACTCTATCCAAACTTATTAGAATTTTTCAAATAAAAATTTAAAAAAAAATTGTGGATATAAATTATAATTTTAAAAAAAAACTATGGATATACATTAGAATTTTTCAAATTATAATTTTTAAAAAACGTGTTTTATATTATGTATATATATATACAGACTTGAGATGAGTCTGGCTTCCAAACCTTTACCATGAAAACATTTGTTCTATCGATTTCAAAAAAACCATCTGTTCTTTAAGCTTCATCAGAATCCAACAGGTATTGTATTTTTAGTTTATCTAATATTACAAGCAATATGTATTAGAATAACCATCAAATATAGCAATTATTAACTTCAGTGTTTGTCAGTTGAAATGGATATTTATCATACTACTGTTCATGAACTTTCTGCTTTGGGGCAAATATATGAATGGTGGAACATTACAAGTGTTAGAGTATTGTATGTTTGGGAGGACATGGAAAACAACAGGATGCTCTTGTGGATGATAGATCGCCAGGTAAGGTTTTTTTCCAGTTAAAATATTCAAGTACTATTTAAATTTTAATCTTGTAAATAATACCATTACCATTTTGTTATTTACACCAGAGAGAAAAAAATCTTAGCAATCATACCTCACCAGTTGGTTCCCGGATATCAAAACATGAATCTGAAAGGAAATGTATTCTCTGTGCAACATTTCCAAGTTGATGAATACTATTTGGACAACCCAATGTACCAACAGTACAAAATCTGCACCAGTGATAAGGCGGTTATGATAAACCATGCCACAATTTTTACTCGGTTGGCAAGCGATTTTGCCAATGGATATCCACTCTATCCAATTGTGTCTATTGTTACAACTGTTGCACAAGATCATACAAATCAAAGAAGGCTTGTTGGTATATTTATATCTTTTTTTTTAATCATTTTTATATCATCTACTATAATTTTAACAAGAAAATATGTCTTTTTAGATGTGGTTGGAAGAATAGTATGGGGCAACTTAATCAGACAGCTACGAGCATTTGAGTTAATTCTCCAAGATGAGACGTAAGTATATATGTATTCAATAAACAGCTATACAACATTGTTTTTTTATTAAATTTATTATCATTCATTTTAAGAGTTATAACAGCATTACCTTTTAATAGGGGGAACGTAACAAAGCTATTGTTGTATCACGTAGCTACAAACCTTATGAATAAGGTTATTGTTGCAACATACAAAAAATCCATACTATATGTTTCTTGCAAGAAGCTGGTCCACAACAATTTGGGTAAGTTAAGTAAATACGTATAATGTTGAACAAAACAAAGCTAAATGCCACGTGTTTAATGTTTTTGCAGGTAAATTATTGGTTTCTACTCTTTTAACCGACTTTGATGTTGAACCACAAATGGATGAAGCTGATAGGATTAGAGCTAGATATTGATGAGAGTATTAGAGGAATATTTTCTTGAACATTTTTTTTAATTCGAGTGTCTTCAATTCGGTTGTGGAACTTTTAAAACTTATGGTTTTACCACATTAGATCTTTAGTTTTTAATTTTGGTTTCGTTAATTTGTTAACTTTTCATATGTTCATGTAGTGTTTTTATATTCTTTTTGACCAACTACAACTATGTTTTATTTAATATATGCAGATGTAGTTAACGTATTAATTCAAAGAGTAGTACCTTCTTCCTTTCTCAATCAGCTACTTCCATGAAACTGTTTATCCTCCGTGAAACTGTATCCACTTCCAACTGGATTAACCTAAATTCATACTGAAATTTTTAAAAATTGAATTAATGCTAAAAAATAAGTAAGTTACAAAATTCCAAAAAAATTTCATACCCAAGATAAATGCTTCCAAAAACTGCCAATTGTCCCATTCTCTTGAAATGTTTCAAGTTGTAACTACAAATGCAGCCTGCATTTCAATAATAAAAAATATGTTAACCAAAAACTAAATATATTTTATTAAATTAATAGAAAGTACAAGCACTTAACATGTCCACCTTGTAACCAAATAACATTTACTCTTTATTTGAACATGAGTTTTATAAGAAACAAGGAAAAATGAAGAGAGTTTTATACCTGTATATTCAATGAAACAAGGAAAAAGAAAAAAGAAAGAGAATTTTATACCTTGTAAAACAAAAAGTAAATAAATTTTATTAAATTATTGAACCTGTATATTATATTAAAGAAGGAAAAAGAAAAAGAATTTTATACGTTTTTACATGCAATGCTTATTTATTTTTTTAAGAATCTACAAAAATAATAATTAAAACTTAATTACAAGTAAAACCAATTCAAAAATAAAATGTCTTTTTTTTTTGTTTCCCGGTATATTTTTGAATACTTATCAGCTAATAAGATAAAATTATATCCAAATGGATTACGAATTTTCAAACTTTATTTTAAATACACAGATAAGTATGAAGTATATTTAATCCTTTCATAACAAACTTGAAACAGATATATATATATATATAT